TAGTTCAGCAGCTGTAGCAAATTGTACATCAGTGCACTGCAGGTCCCCATACACCATATGTTTGGACAACAACCCACAGTATGGTGGAAAATGTGAAGCAATAATAGGTTCCAGTGCAGCTAATGAAGATCTCTCTGTTCTCTTCAATTATAACTGTCTCACTCCAATTCATAGAAGGGAGATGGGGTTCTTTTAATATATGTATACCCACCATGAGATTAAGAAATAACGGTTCAAATGTTGGTCCAACCAGTTTATTATAAATCCTAATCAGGGAGACAGGGAAGGGAAGGAGGGCAATAGAAAAGATAGGAAAGAAGCAAGAATCGTGTAAAGCGGGGATAGTCACCACCAAGATGCAGCAGCGGTCTGGTTGCATGACGTTTGAAGGTCCGAGCCAAAAGCAGCAGTGGGGCTGGCTTGGGCAGTAAGCAGGTAGCAGAAAGAAGTCGCAGAGCCAATCCGGGAGGAAGCAGCAGGACTCAGACAGCAGGCCCAGGAGAGTCCATCAGCATGCAGGAATTCCGTAGTGAGAAATCTGATGGCAGACACCTTTGTTCTTCTTCAGCAATTGTGATAGAGTGCAGAGCAAGTCCAGGAAGGAGAGAGGCAGTCGTGAGGCTTCTCATGTCAAAAACTTCTTCACGAGGAATCTGTTGCCAGAAAGCATCCACCTCATGATTGTAGGTCCCCTTTTTAACCTTCTTCTGCCAATGCAGCATTCCTGGGCGCTTGGGTAAGAGTCATGTGCAGCCCCTCCTGAGATGGCCATCTTCCTTGAGATAAGCCCACACAAAAGATCGCTTCATGGCCACATGGCCGTTAAGCTGTGCTCTCTCTCTCTCTCTCTCTCTCTCTCTCTCTCTCTCGTTGCCCCTGGCCTTGTCCATCTGTGTCCGTCAAAGGATTTCACAACCTTCTAAAGGTTATGCTTGAAGCTGGAGTTGAAACTGGGGGACTTCAGAAGGCAGCTTAACTGGCTTCATCCCAGGGCTGCTGAACCGCAGTATCCTCACACCAATTGGCACAGAGTGTATGGCTGTCTTATATGGTGGAGGGAACTGGAGGTGCAAGACTGAGTTTAAACAGTTAAATCTCAAATGCATTTGCTACATTTATATTTATATTTATATATATTTATATACTTATAATGTAAAAAAAAAAGTCTCCAAGATTTTTAAGTGTTTGACATATTTTAAAAATTGTAGGTTTAACTCCTAAGTAACATTTTTTTCTCCACACAAAAGCAAGTAAAATCTTTTGAAGATATCTTGAAATATACCTAGCTTTTCAAGTCTAATAAGATATTATTCTGAGAAGTGATGTCATTGAATAAGATTTTAGTGTGGGAGATAACAGCATTGAATGCATGAAGTTTAAAAAGTACAAATGTATTTTGGAATATTCTTATCATCAGTCTATTCCTATCTAAGACATGATCTAGCTTGCAGGTGATTTTAACATAAAGCTGAAATACAGAAAGAATTGGAAAAAAATCACATTAATATTACAGAAATTAAGTATAAAATGATTATGACAAGAGACGTAACTAATGCACTCACTAATAGAATCAATTCTGCATTCTTCTGGGCATTTTGATCTTGTATGTCTTCACCAGTTAAATTATGATGCTAAATTTGTTTCTAGTAAGCAAAGGTATGTAGAAGACCAACTCCAAGAAAATTGTAACTTAAAGGAGAAATGTGAGATTTTCATCTCTACTTGTACATGCTATAAGCAATGATAAACATTTAGTTATTTTATACATTCTTTTAATTATGAAGGCAAGTTAAGATATGCAACTGCTTTTTGATTTTTAAAGCATTACTATTATTTTAAAATCTTGGTAAAGTAATTTATAGTTGAACTAAAGCATGTTTCTTGGAAAAATTATCAGTCTTTTAATCAAGACCTTAAATGATTGAGAATTTATCACAGTCCTTCGTTATCTATTCAACTGTTAATTTCATTGTTTAATTTTAGCTTGAGTTTCTCTGCCTTTTCCAACCAAATTTTTCTTATTTTTTTTCTATTACAGTAACACTTTCTCCTTTCAGAATGTTTACCTACTGATAGTAATTACAAAACATGAGGTATTTCTTCAGCTTGTCCTAATAAATTACATTAATTGATCTCAATTTGATCAGTCAATATAAGTGTGTAGTCAGACAAAGCCTTTAAAACCATCCATGAGCATTCTTCTTTTAAAGGAGAGTGAAAGAAAACAAGTGCAGTCCAAAGTCTCAGTCCTCCAAAGGAAAAAAAAAACAAAGAAACATAAATGATGCTTATGCATTAATGGAGTTCATTTGTTTTAGAAACGTATTCAGGAAAGTGCTAAACACCCTTAGCTGTCCATCAACTGAACACCAATTTCATTATTAATTTTATTACTTCTTTAATCAGACAGATGTTTATATTTCCATTTTATTCTTATATATACATATATATAATACATAATATCCATATATTCTTATATATCCATATATGTGTGAGTTTTATACACACACACACAGACACACATATACATTTTAAATTTGCTTTAGGGCAAAACATCTACACTAATAATCTTTAAGAAACCCAATTCAAAGAATGAAGTTACTGAACCTTACTAAGCAGAAGTTCCCCTCAAATATATATTCCTATTATGCCCATGGACATCTATATAATGAATTGTTTGCATTCCAAGGATTAAGGAAGAAAAGTAGGAAGGAAAAGGCAAGGAGCTGCAAAAAACTTTTCTTATAGGATTATTTCTCCTTCCAGTTATGAATCTTTACAAATACGGCAATTAAGCAGAAAATATACAAACTATGGAAGCACATCCAGAAACAAGTCACGTTACAGCCTCGGGTAGACAGTGTAATATCATTCATTACACATGCTTGAATAGATTCATTCATGCCAGGGTTTAAGATGGATTTTTCTTTTGCTTCAGATAACAAAGAGTTCCACTTTTCAACTCCACTTTTTTCAACGTTAAATTGGAAGCAGTGCTCTAAAGGGACTTCAGAATGCAATAGGTATCACAATTATTGATCACGATGAATGGCAAGGAAAATAATTTACAAGCATGGACAGCATCTTAAAATTTAAATGCCTAGTTTGAAGAAAAAATAATTTTGTGCTTAAATTCATGGCACAGTCTCCTAAAGTGAATGAAAGGGTTATGATAAACAGCTCCTAAAAATGGTACCATCTAAGTTAGGCTGAGATTTAATAAAAATTTTCTGTTTTTGGGGAGCACAGATAATTGAAATTATAAAGACTGCTTCTGTCTAAATGTTTTTATATACACAGAGCCTGCTTGCCAGTGGGATGTCAGCTGAACTGAGGTGTGATTGCCAGATATCTCCTCTCACAACTTTTCTCTGTAGTTTGTATTTACTACTAATGACTGATAGAGAGGATAAGTTTCTGATGGACTCCAAATGTTTTGCAAGTTGCAGTAATTAGATTCCAACTTATGCATTGATGTGATTAATGTATTATTTTGGACAGGATCATTTTCACAGATTTTGTGTTAATAAAATCCATATTGATATTTCTGGATCCTTTTCTAGGCAGAATCTACTTAGTCTCCAGCTGTGGAGACCTTTGCCTGATGTTCTTCATTCTTCTAAGCTCTCATCAGTCTTATTCTGGTTTGCACTCATCTGTTCAGGATTTTTTTTCTTCCCTCTCTAAGTTAAAAGCTGTATCATTTACAGTCTTCTAGATCAAATATGGTCAATACTTTCACCTTTTAAAATACCCAGAAATGAAAATTGTTTCCCTAGAATGGATATTAGGCGTTTCTATGGCATTCTAATATTTCAGGATGCTTTAAATTTTTTATTTCTTAAAGCATGTGTATTAGGGAATTTTTTAATGTAAAAAAAGAGGGACTAACCTTTGTTTTCACATTTAGTGATTCAAGATTTATTTTTGCTTTATTCAAAGCCTACAGGGAAGAGGTATGGTAACGCTCTTCCACTTTATTTGGGGTATTTGCAATTTACATTCTGGTTCAAGCAAACTCTGAGAGATGCTGCTAATACTCCAACTGATTTTTTTTTTTTTTTTCATTTTGCAATATACCCATTGTTTTGTTCCCGTGATAAAACTCAGCTTTGGATCACCATCAGATACTTCTTTAAATGAAGTCAGTGGTAGAGGAAGTACATTTTTAGTTCTGCGTGATTTTTATTATCAAGTAACTAACTCTTCCTATACCTACACAGCTTTCACCCGCGTGCATGTTATATACATGTGGTTATGGACTAACAGTCCTACTTGTAAATAGAACTCTGCTTGTGCATTTATTTCTGACAGAGTAGAATGGAGTACGGGAATGGGGATTCCTGTTTGGAATTTTGTGTTTGCCTTCTTTCGTGATTAGATAGCATACTGTAGGGACTACTTTTTATACATAGCCCTGCAGAAACTGATCTGAAATGAAAACATGAAGCTTGGAAATGGATGCTGTGAAATGAGTCCTCCAATGTTTAGGCTGTACAATAGCAGAATTATCCTTCAGTAATGCTGGGACTACTGCACAAAAACGACAGCATCACCCACTGAACTCTTTTACGAAAGAAAAATCCATTAAAAGGCAAACCTCGGTAGTTAAAGCATAAAAGCTTTTTCTTCCAAATTGGGGCTGATGAATTAAGCTCATCTTTGCAGCTAAAATGGAATGGCTTAATCCTACACCACATGAAAGGAGAATGTCACCAATTAAGTCAGACTAGAAAGCTTTGTTAGTGAAAGAATGACTGGCTGGAACTTGCCCTCAAAGGCTTTACAAGGAAAAACAGCCATTTATTTAGGCAATCTCTTGACAAAATACAAAAGAAATAAACTGATAATGAATTGGCACTTCTGGGGAACCAAAGGATTTTAATAAAACTTCTCTGGACCACCATCCTTCTAAATACCAAACTCTCTGAAATATAACCTTCCAGAAACCTTACTAGGCAGTGTGATTCACCAAGACACCCCTATTCTTCTCTTTTCAGGCTCCTGCTCACATGGCTATTGGCAATGTCAAAATGGCAAGTGTTACAGACCAGAACAAAGCTGTGATTTTGAAGACAACTGTGGGGATAATACAGACGAGAGTGAATGTGGCACTTCCTGCACCTTTGAGAATGGCAGATGTGGCTGGCAAAATTCCTTGGCGGACAGTTTTGACTGGGTGCTGGGAGCTGGCTCGTCACAAAGTCTGAGACCTCCCAGGGACCACACGCTTGGAAACAGAACTGGTATGTTGTCACAAATGCAATGTAATTGTCTTCATGGAGTTTTTCTTATCTCCATTCAGAGCCAGTGGGGGGATTCTACATGTCTTATTAGGGTGTCATTTTAAATAACTTGAATGCATAATGTAATATGCAGATATTAATTACTGCTGTAAAATGACTTTAGGTTAGGGTAAATTGATTCTCAGTTGTTTCTCCTTGGGGTACTGTTGTACGAGTAAAGCAAGTCAATTTGTTACTTCTGGAAGAGAGACATATATTCTGGCTTTGACAGCAAGGGTGAGGGAGCTCAGCACTAGATGCACCGAGTCCTATCCTCCAGTCTGAGCACATTTCCTGGAAGCCTCAGTTCATGTTAGAACAACACACAGTGTTCTGAATGTAAGGAACAAGCAAACAAAAACCTACGATAGCCTATAATATATTACATGCTGATCATTAATAATTTTGAGTGTTAATAATTATAAAATAATAAAGAATTTTTTCACGGGGTATAATTTCTTTCTGATAACTGGTTGAATACGATGAATGCTTTTCACCTTCTTTATACTCCTTAATCATATTGAAAGTAGGCCATAATGAGAGATGGAAAATGGCTGTTTAGGAGTTAAGAAACTCACTCAAAATAATGAAGCTACCAATAGCAACTGTTGAAAGTTCTATTTTGAGTAATTTTTAGTAAATAAAAATATATAAATAGACCTCCCTTGTCAGTGACAGAGTAGCCACATGGTTTCTTCTGGAAAACTACCAAATGAATTCTTCTTTTCCTTGCTTACAGGCTCCACACCTTCATCCTCTCCCTGTGAAGTTCTTATAGTCCAGGCAAAGGTGTTAGTGAAACTGAGCTCAGGCCTGATCTTAAATTGAAATGTGCCACAGTAAAATTGAACAGATATTTGGAAATGTATTTAGAAATTCATGAGTATTTACATGTACTGCTGAAGGATAAAATAATAATAATAATAAAGTAGTAATAAAACCAGAAATATGGAAGGACACAGTTGTTTGCCTTTTACGATATCCAGGTATGTTACAAGACAGGTTTCTGCACCTCTGTGGAGTTTATCATGACAGAACTAACAGATCGTTCAGCTCAGTTGTTAAAATATTCTCACATGGAATAGAGACTGCAGTATTTATTTATCTTTGTGGTCCTTGTACAAAGAAAAAGAATTTTAGCCCTTGCTTCTGTGAGTTAAGTCTGTCCCTCAGACAAGTTTCCTTTCAAAGAGGACTGTGGAAGTTGTTGTTTTGTGTCTCCCTCTGAACAGGTGTTAGCATAAACATCAACATGCCAAGCACTCAAAATAGCCACATCCTCCCTGCAAACAATGATGCCATGATAAGGCATGCTTTTAATCTCCCACAGTGTTTACTTATGTGGCTGTCTTTAGTGCAAGTAATAGCAGATGTGGAAAAATAAGCTTTCATTTGTTTTTTTCTAAGTTTATTTAAAAATACTTCTCACAAAGATGTCACTGCACTTATTGTGTGTGTGATTGGTCCAGGAAGGAAGAAATTTTCTCATCCCGTAATATAATGTCAAATATTTATAGCTGGAAATGAGCCAAAGAGGTTAGAATGAACACATTTTAGTCCACAGGGCTTTTATCTCTAATTCATAGAAAAATTTAGACAATATGAAATTATAATTTGACAGTGTACTATTTATGCAATGATTATGCTTATGTGCCCTATACAATTGTACGAACAAAGGAAAAAAAATAATTTCGAAAACTGCAAAATTTATTAAACTTTTGATTGAAATAGAAATGGAAAACAAGAGGAGCGTATCAGTTTCAGAATTAACTGCAAGCATCTGTTTTTTGCAACTTCATCTGACTAAATAATTTAAACATGAGAAAATATTTGTACAGTAATGAGTACGGATGTCCAAAATATCTCACTGGTTATGAACATGTGAATATTTATTGGATTTTGTTGTTTGTTTTATTCTTACATCACAAGTTTTTATATTGTTATTGCGAAGGTTATCTTTCAGAAAACTTAATCTCAAAATTTATCGCCATGTGGTCATTGGTGTACTGTCAAAACAGTAATGCTCTTGGACAAGGAGTAGTGATCAAGGTAGCTGGGAAAATTGGAATATTCATTGTATTTCACACATGTCTGTCTAAACATTAAGCTGTTACCAGTTTATTCTTATCATAACAAGTATTATCTGGTAGCAAATGTTTGCTAGCATAGGAGATATTTGGGAAGCATACTTTATATCTTTCTGAGTATTTCTAAGTTTCAGTCGTGGAATCTAATCTGAAAGTGAAAAACAATTTTTCAGGAATACATAATTTCATTTCAGGACAATTCCTATATCTTGAGGCCACTGCAATAGGGCTGAAAAATCAAAAAGCCCATCTGAGGAGTTCCAGATGGAAAGAGTCAAGCAGGAGTTGTATGTTGAGCTTCTGGTACTTCAAGTCATTAAAAGCCACAGGATGTATTCAGGTTCTCATAAAGGTAACTAAAAAATTACTTACTTTTCAATATCTGATGCCTGTTAAAGTGTAAGTGCTTCAGCAGACTGGTTTGGGTCTGTTATAGCAGCTTCTATACTGGAAGAGTCCCACTGCTTTTGTCTTTAGGCTTCTCTTGGTCCAGCACTATTTTTATTATTCTGGTCTCTTAAAAATACTTTTGCCCTTTTGTTTCCAAAACACTTTTTTTTCTTTTTTTCTTTTTTTCTTTTTTTTCTGAAACTCTGCAGGAAAGTTTTAAAACTTTTTTTCCATTTTCTCTTTTTAAATGCATTGCCTTTCTCTTTGACACTCCACAGCAGAGCAATTTTATTATTTTGCTGCCATATGTATTGGTAACTATGTGTGTAACTGTAATTCTGATAGAATGACACTCACCAAAATACTTAACAACTAATGCAAAGCAAGGACAATACTGTTTTCATTCTGTGTAGACATGTAGAGGATATATAATCAATTTTCCTTAAAAATTTCTTTTTTGACATTCCCTCAGAAAAGTCATTTTCTTCACTAAATGTGCAATGACGTAAAACGTATGAAAATAAGGTAAAACTATCTAAAATTACAGAAAATAATTATCAGTGTAGCAAATGTAAATTTCAATTTATTATATATGCTACTCCTAGATCACAATCTGTAATATTTCCTTTCTCTTTTAGATTGGGAAATAATTTTGTTTTCTGTTTCTTTTATCCTTATTACAATGAGATACTGCCCCTCCCTTATTTTCCCCTAGTATTATTGTCTTAATAAACTTGTCAGACATTATTTTATTTTATTTGAAATTATCACTGCCTCCAGTGAGCTTAAAGAAAATTTAAAGTTAAGTGGATGGCATCTGAAAAAGGGCTTATTATTCTTATCCAACTTTGTTTAATGCAGGCAAGAATTCTAGAGGAAGATAGAAGACATTCTTCTCATTAGTAGTGCATCATAAATAGTTTCACAGATCAGTGTAATTTACACGTTCTGTTGTTTATAAATATTTGCACATCAAAAATCTAATCAGAGTTTCTATTTAACAGTGTCTTTAGGAGTAAGGTCTGATTAAACGCTTTGTAGTCATGAGAAGTAGTACTAAAGGTTTACCTTGTAGTTCAAGCTACCATACTCATGTAAGTCCATCTTGTTTGAGTATAAACATGAAGGAAATCAACTTTTTACGCAGGTAGATTGTGATAGAACCAGGAGGAATGGTTCTTTTAAATTAAAAGAACGGAAATTTAGGTTAGATATCACCGGAAAGGTTTGTTGTTTTTTGTTTGTTTGTTTGTGGTGGGTTTTTTTTGTTGTTGTTGTTTTTGTTTTTTTTTTGTTTTTTTTTTTTTACTGAGAAAGTCATGTGGTGCTGGAACTGGCTACCCAGATAGGTTATGGATACCCCATCCCTGAAGGTGTTTAAGGCCAGGTTGGGTGGTTCCCCAGGCAACCTTATCTAGTGCTTATCTAGTGGCTGGCAGCTTTGCCTTTGGCAGCGGAGTTTGGAATTTTATGATCCTTGAGGTCCCTTCCGATCTAAGCTATTCTATGATCTCTTGGTTTGAGGTTCAAGTTAATGTCAGTGGAAGCAGATTTATGAACAGTAATAGGTGAAAAGGCAACAGAGAGGAGATGACCTGGGAAAGAATTTGCTATCTCAAGTTTCACGGATGAGTGAACTGTCTCCAGCTAAAGTCTTCACTTCTATTGCAATCTAAAAGTGAGAATGAACACCATGTGCACCACTGACAAAATTATAAACAAAACAATCATATTGAAACAGAATGCAGTATATTACAGAGGAAGGAAAATACCAATCAAAGGCTAAAACACTTTTTCTTTTTTTTTTTTTTAAATTTTAGCTCATTATATGCATTACTGGATGACTTCTCTTAATATTAACATTGCTTGACCACTTTCAAGATGCTTGCATATTATCTGTCATACTAAAGAAACATTTCAGATTGTGATGTAAACAATGAAACTTGTAGGATCATATGGATTATATGGGTATGAACTTTTCTGTTGAGCCATGCAATGAAAGAAAAACTCAATTACCTAGGGAATTTCTCTATCATTAATATACTTTTCCCCTCATATTATACTGTATATTAATACAGACCTCTCTGTACATGGAATAGTAGTCCAATCACAATGATGGGCACTTGAGCTGGTTGTAAAAAATACAGTATACTTCAAAACCATCACCATTTATACAAATGGAAGATGTTGACATTATAGCTATCAGTGGAGACAGTGAAATCCAGAGACTGCAATATCCGTCTCACCATTGATCTAAACTGAAATTACAAAGTGTTTTACAGATGTGCAAAAGATCAGTAGGCAATCAAAATATTACCAGTACAGATTTGTATATCGTTAGTCAAAACTTTACTACTGAAAGCAAGATTTTGAATTATTTCTCTGTGACAGTTGCAAGAGAATATAAAATACTGTTAGAGATTTTTAAGCTAAAGTACAGTAGGAAAAAGTTCATATTAATTATGCCTGCTTTAGTGGTCATAGTGAGGTCCCTGATCTCTTACTGGCTCACACAGTCAGAGGAAACTCTTACTTTGAAATGTGTTTCTAAAGAGTTGAGCACAGATTATTAGGTATAAGGAAAGACAACACATTTTATTGCTCTGCTGATTAGAAGATATGTTTTCTAGTGCTGATTAGGTTATTTTTGTTATGAAAAGAAAAATAAAGGTGATAATTCATCCTCTGTACAGACATTGTTATTAAAACAACAGCAACAATGCAATTTAAGGTTTAATGCAGTTAGAGAGGCTTCAAATACTTTATATATTTCAAATACTTTAATACTTTACAAGCCTCTGAAAAGAAATACACAGATGTCTAAAAAAGATTAAACAAGCTATTAGCAACTACCTTCACTGAATGTGATGAGGCCAATGTATACGGGATCTCTTTAGGAAACATCAGCAGACCTCTCTGAGGTATTTGTCATAGTGAATTAGTTTCATCCTTTTACAAATGTGCGAAGACATAATGGTATTCAGGATAAGAAGGCTTTGCCAGCTCATAGCAAGTGAAGCAGTGCCGCACCAGCACTGCTGAAGCGACAGCCCAACCTGGCTGCTGCACCAGGGAGCTGGAGCCAGCAAGCAGACCATGCCCTCCAGCTGCTTTCAGGCTGATAGAGCACAGACCCCATCACCTGGCTGCTGCAGCTTCTCAGACAAAGCTGAAAACTGCCACAGTTGTTCCTTCAATATTATAATTGTATTTAGTTTGCCTATGGAGAATAAGAGAGAGAGATGTAGAAAGGAGAGTAGCTAAAAGTTCAGATGCAGGTGATTTGTGATGGTTTTTGCAATTCCTGTTACTTTTTAGTGAAGTAACGTACTGTCCTGTGTCGTCAACAGGAGAAACTGAAGTAGAGATGCTGCTGTTGCCCACTGATTTCTTCTGTACATTTGTATTTTTAGGATAGAGTAGTTTAAAATGATTTTTTTCGCAAATCAATACCATCAACCTTACTTACTTCTTTGGGAAGTCTCTCAACAATAAAGTCCGAGGAAACAACTTACTCTGCCTCACACCTCAAAATAGACTTTCTCTTCATTGATTCTTCTCACTGGCTGCGTGAAAAACAATCAACTCCTCACACTGATGTAGCAATTATAGATTTCACTGTGTTAGCATAGCCTTCAAAGCAGATTATCTGACTTCCATTTGGTTAGGGGAAGAAACTTTCCATCTGGGATTGATCTTTCCATCTGCCCAGGGAGGTTGTGGATGCCCCGTCCTTGGACGTGTTTAAGGCCAGGTTGGACGGGGTCCTGGGCAACCTGATCTGAATGTGTATGTTTGGTGGCCCTGCTAGGCAGGGGGGTTGGAACTACATGATCCTTGAGGTCCCTTCCAACCCGGGTGATTCTGTGATTCTGTGATCTTCAAAGATTTGCTTGAAGGTTTTGCTGCAGGTACTGCTGAAATCCAAAGCATGGTCCAGACAATGTAGAAACTACAGATTTTTTCACTTCCCTCTCTAGACCCAATAAACTTTATGAAGGAATTCCTTTCAACTTATGCAAAAATTTGAAGTTTTGGAATACACAGTTGTTTTTTTTTGTTGGTGGTGGTTTTGTTTTTCTTTTTTTTCTTTTTTTTTTTTAGTAGCTTACATGTATCTTTGTGTTACTGGTCTTTTGTTTTGTTTTTCAAATTGTTTTCCTTTATTAAATCCAGGAAAAATGATATTCAGAAGAATTTGGCTTGGCATAACATCATGGGGATACGGACCTTTATTTAATTGTATCTGTACAGTTTCCAAAAGGTGCAAGATTTTGCATTCATTACTCCCACTGTTGGCCTGTGAACTGTTATTAAAAAAATTTGTATGAGTTGATGAAATCTGTGCTCTGAGGAAGGCATAGTAAGTGGTAATATGGGAGTACTAAATTAACTGAAGAAACTTCAAAGGAAATCAGTGGGGCTACTGTGAAGCACAGCATTTTTTGTCAAGAAAGAAAGATTAATTTTTATGGCAGATTCACTTCCAAATGCAAAATTACGGAATCTAAGAGCTCTTTCCACTTGTTTAGGCTTTGTTTCAAATAGTTATTATTGGATTGAACCCATGAGATAAGAATATATCCAAGAAAACACAGATTCAAACAAAGATTAAACAGAAATAAGTTGATTTTCAAGAAAAGTGTCTTTTCTCAAAAAAAGCTTTTTAGAATGACCAAATACATATGTACCATTGTAGACAGGGCAGGAACCACTAAGTGCAATTTATAATGTTAGGTTATTACAAAGTTATTTCAATCTTCTTACCTGTAAATTATTAGAAGCACATAATTCACTTTATTCTATTTCTGCAACCAAACGTAAGCATTCATTCCAAAGAGCTTGATGAATTGGAACAGTACAATTGCACAAGTCTGAACTAGAAAATACCTATAAATACATACATACCCAGTACAAACATATAAATAAACACATATTCCAAAGGATCAAAGAACTACTCAT